GCGGCGGCTGCTGCTGCTGCTGCTAATGTTCCTCCTCGTCATCCGTTATACAATGAGAATAGTAAATGCAACAAAATCAGAACAAAACATGTTGGTGGGTTATCACCATCGTGACATTGGTCCTAGCCATACGCAACAAGCATGAAACAGAGATACAGAACTAATGATGCTGGCTGGTTGAGGGCAATAGTACGATTCCGACCACCGTAGTGATCCACATCCGTGGGTCCCTCCACCCAAAAATCTGAAATGCTCCCAATTATATAGAAACCCCCAACAGGCACTCGTGATTTTAAGAAACTGCACTGGAGCTTGGGCCTTGCCTGTCGCGCAAAGGCCGCGCAGACCCAGAGCCCACGCAACCCTTGGAGGGAAAGGAGAGGTTTTTCAATGTGGCAGGTTTTCAGAATTTTAATTTCCTGGCCTCACAATCCCCTCACCACCTGAAGAGGGGAAACAACCCTCTGGCCACGCGAAGTGGCGGAAGCAGTGTGCAGAGTTGGGGTGGCTATCGCTAGCTGCTTAGCGGGGCCAGCCCAAGCCCAGCGAATGCTTAAGATCTGTTGCCACTTGTCCGCAAAGCTACCTCGCAGCCTTGTATAGGTATGACTTCTAAACGCGATGCAACCCCTGTGGAACCAAGGGAAAGGAAATCGATTCTTCCATCCCTGGTGTTGGTTGAGCTCATGGCCTTACGAAACCAAATAGAAACAGCAACCACCAAAAATGGCCCTTTGTAGTGCTGGCCTTTGGCCTTGCAGCTAGCTTGCCAACAAAAAAGTGATGGGAAGATGGTGTACCAGCAATGAAATACTACTAGATCCGCTCGGAAATATGAGGCTGATATTCTCGATGAGTATACACTATATAGCCTTATAACAGCAAAGTACATAGACTCCCTTCTGGGTAAGAAGACTTGAAAGTAAACCTTTAGGGTTCACTCACTGGTGCCTAAGGGGGAGGTTCTTGCGGGAGCGGAGCATGTATGGCAGTCCAAGTACTAGGATCACGATCGGGATCTCCGGAAGTTCAGGGGGTCCGGGACCAACCAGAAGAAACGTGGCAGTTTCCCATGTCCCTATATACCGCTATATCCATACACCCTAAGTCTGTACGTATCCCTAATATAACTATATGAAACCCCTTTTGCGGGTATGATGTGGGAGATCTAAGGCGAGCTTCGAACAAAGGCTACAGGGGAGCTCAGCGCTGGGGCCACGAAGCGCCCGAGGAGCTCCTGGATGCCTTGGGCTTCCAAACCCTTCAAAAGGGTTCAGGGTCTAGTGGCGTGTCAAGCTTTGGCGAACTTCTTTCGAGATTGTGGGGATTCTGAATGTAGTGCTTTGTTATAAAAGCTGTTAAAGGTCTTCTCGTGCTTCTGACAAGATCATGTTGAAGGATTCACTTGGCCGCATACGGCTATGCTTGTGTGACTTCATGAGTCGGCATACATTGTTTACAGGCTTCTAGGCTAGGATGCTGATGCTGCTATCAAGTCTGGACACCGTGTGGCGTTCATGTAATGCTGCGAGATTTACCAAGCCTGTGCACAAACAGTCTTCAAGACTAGAAACATGGAGGTCCTAAGTGGCTAAATCGGCAGGACCGGGACAACAAAACCCCCGAGCTCAGGATGGTCCGTCCTATCACCTTGATCATATTAATGCAATGCTAGGGGTCGCTGATACAAGTACAAGGTTCTCTGACTTTGGGTCCCTGCATGCAGTTTTAGGTCCTATGAGACCACGTCTTAATGCCAAGTCATATTGTCCGACGTCTCTGAAACTTCAGAAAACCTCAGGACCTCAAATGGTCCCTTGCAGTTAATGCTCATGTTTGCAAAGCTCTCGATGGCAGCCTTGTTGCTCACAGTCTGCGCGGCCCGGTTCTTGCCTTTCTTCTTCTTTTTCCCCTGGGTGCGTGGACCGAAACGAAGGGGGGGGTGCTCAGGGATGCCTGAAACGCTACGCAGTCAGCTTGAATGGTAAGTCGGTAAGTGAGAGCGATTTGCCGTCTAGCCTTGTGGTGGGCGTTAGCATCATAGCTCCTGTCAACATGGGCTGGTCTAAGCATTGCTACTGCCATTGCTATTCGAGCCGATGCGAGTACTACTGTAAGATGTAAGTGCGACTAGCAATACTAACTTCATCAACACCAGCGTTCTCATTATATTGGTTCTACTGTAGGGCCCACGACATAGGGTTGACGCGCCTCGCCCTCTGGCATCTGCGTGGGGTCCAGGTCCACCAAGTGGTCTGCCATGAGTCCAAGAAGGACCAAGGCACCCTCCTGATGAAAGTTTGGGGCACACGATGGAGCTGTAGGAATACGGCACAAGGAATGGGAGGACAGGAGAACAATTCAAAACGAAACAACAAGGACAATCCTCAAAATACGGGCAGTCTGTGGAGGTAGGCTGCGGCTGCTGCCGCCGTTGCAGTCCTCATTTATTGTAGAAATACAACACTGAATGACTCGCCCGCCAGGCCTGGTTTGCGCAGCGAGCCGAGTTGGAGGAATCTGATGCCTGAGGGTGCAGAAGGGCTGCAAGACATGAATCCAATGACCAGCACTGCTTACGTGGACTGTCATGTCATTTACGCAACATTGTCTGAACTGTTGATGTTCTGTTTTTGGTGGAAGAAGTCAGATGTACCAGCTACAAGGGGCCCCATTCTAAAGCCGGTAGGCAGGTCGAGCCTAGAAGCAAGCTTACGGTCGTGAGCTCTGTCAAACGGGGATTGTTGAATATTCCTTTTCCCGGAAATGGGTCTTTCACGTACCCTTTCGCGCCCTTTCGCGGACACCATAAGACCAACAATTTGCTGAGTGATCATGCTTTTTCATCCAAAACATACCCACACTTCCTTTAGCGGCCTGCCTTGCGAGGGCTAAGTTGGACCAGTACATTCCCTTTCGCGAACCTTTTCGCGTACCTTTCGCGCTCCTTGCGCGCACACCGTTTTTTGCGCAACCCATGAATTGCCGCGCTTATAACCGTTTAGATAGGGGTTTGTGAACCACCCCCAAATATTGATTAGCTGGTTTTTCTGGGCAGGAGAACTACATCCCTAGGGTCCCTTAGGACCTTATATGGTAGTTCCCCAAAATTAGGGTACCCCAATATAGACCCCAATATACTATAGTCCTTATCATAGGGACCCCCAAAATGGTAGCCCTGATGTTGGGAAACTTCCATATTATATCCTGGGAAACTCCGATTCATCTTGCAAGGACCTTTTCCTTCTTCACACGCGGTTGGACGCAGTCTGCCTCCAGGATACTCTGCGTGCCATCCTCGCGTTTCATTGGGGTAATACTGGGTTAATGGAAAAGAGAATGGAAACTACTATTACAGTATATTGGGGTTATATTAAGGTTTTTTTCAGAGAGAGGCTTCGGGGGTGCATGGATGGGGGCCTTAGGGGGGTGGTTTATGGGCTAGGGGCTTAGGGTTACATACTTACTGGCACCAAGGACGGTCCCAATGACTGCAGTAAAAAAAACCAAGCGGCTTGTATCCGACATAGTTACGGTTGATTCTGAGACGAACTAAACAGTACTCGAGACTCAGCTCGTACTCGCTAAACTTATGCAGGGTAAAGAACGAAACATACAACGGCTTTAAAGCTGGGACTAGCAAAAGAAAAGCCTCTTTGCACCACTGGACCTTCTGTCGACCAGTCTTCTTCTTCTCCAGAAGATAGCACTTATGCCAGGCATCCTCGAAGTAGCCCCAGAGCGGCTGTCGCACGGTTGCCGTGGACTCCGCCGGGACCTCTGTAAGAAGAATGAATGCCTGTGATGGTACACTCCTTCTTCCTGGGAACCCTGGTCGAAATATGACTTCAGCAGGTTCTTGAAAATACAATTAGCACAAATAGGAATCTAGATCCTGGTTCCATCCTCTTCTCCTGCTACAACACCAGGCGCTATCCAAGGACACAGGAACCCCGAATGCTCAGTGGAGGCCTTGCTTTGCCAGGAGGTGGGCTGGTCAACTGGGGGAGGGGGAGATATCTCGATCTCTAAATAGAAGGCCCCTCATATACCCCTTGAAGGTCAACGCTGTCACCATATATAGGAAGCAGAAAAAAGATCTGCTCCAGGGAGCTGCTTGCTTCTTCGCCTTTTTTGCCGGCTTCTCCTCCAAGGGCTGATTCGGGCCGTAGGTTTCATCTGATTAACTAAATTGCGAACGACTGTTGCCAACTTGTTGTTCATTGGGGGCGCTTGAAAAGAATGCATATGGCCAGGCTGGGAGGCTAGCATCAAACAGCTTGCAGCAGGCATCCCGCAGAAACCTCATCCTAACACAGAGCCGTGCTGTTTAACCCCAGCAATGTTCCTTTATGCTCCCTAGAAGCCTCTCGTTTTCAGGATCTCTGATGTGAGGTCATCAAAATTAAAATAGGGTACCCTGATATTGGCATGAGAGGAAATCATGGGAGTCGCTCCTTTTCCATCCTGTAAACTCCTCGGCAACACCCTGAACCCTGCACAGGTCCTCCATGGTGCGCTCCCTTGTGCGCTTTCTGGGCCGGCTGGGTGCAGTGCTTTGCGCAACGGGAAGCTTCCTGGGCGAAGCCCGTGTTTTAACCCATTGAGAGAAAAGGTGACAGGGGCACTTCCCAAAATTGCCAGTACATGTAAACTGTATATCATAATTTTCGTCAGTAGCGAACCACAGAACCCCGTAGAATCCCGATCTATCCCACGATCCGTGGAGGCTTCCCCTTCGGAGAAACTCTGTACACGATGTGATACGGGTTCTTGTGGAGTCTGCAAATAGATGAATGGGATCTGTGTCAAAATGGTGGTCCCCTCTTTGAGAAGCGCGCTGCGGGAACCCCAAGAGGCCCTAGAAACTCAACGACGGGAAAAAGCAAACAACCCGAAGACCACATGCTCATGCCGTCTCTTCAACCGAAACATCTGGAGCTGTTCCCGCCTAGTTATCGCCATAAGTCACCCTTGTGCAGCTTCTGAACACTCGAGCCTTCACCACTGAACCACATGAAGCTATGCCAAACCCATGTTTGACGCTATACGGTCTCGTGGAGACATGGCTGAATGCTTGTTGAAGCCAAGCTACAGTTCGAAGGAACCTGTGCTAGCAAGCAAGCACCCGGCATTCTTGCTTGAGGTTAGCTTCATTCAACATTCGAACCATGTTTTTTCATGTTGGCCCCCAATACAGGAATCGTCATCAAGAGCCGAAGGAAGGTCGTGTACCTCTCAGGATTCTACATACCAATTGTTATGGACAGCTTCATGCTTGCACAAGCTTTTGCCCAGCCATTGCCTAGGCAACAAAAACTCACTAGAGAAACCTTGCAGCACCCGAGCCTGCTTTTCATACCCATCAGTTCCCGTGTTGAACGAGGCAAGGAAGACCAAATATGGGAGCTTGGCAATCCTTGCACCTCAAATTATAAATCTTTCAAGGACACGGTTTGACCACAATCAATGCAGTGTCCTTCCGAGGGGACCTTGGGAATCAACAAACAAGAACCATCATGTAGCTACTTCTAAGCCGCTGCCTCTGTGCACCCCAATGCAAGCTGAACCAGCAACTAAAAGGATGGCAAAGGTTAGTTTGCAACACTTGTCTAAACTCCCAGGTTTCCCCTCAACAGCCCGCGTAGTACTTCCCTAAAAAATCCACCCCCCCAAAAAACCTTGAGCTACTACAGAGCAGCCGCGCGCTGCAAGAATCAGCCGACGACTCTAAGAAACATGTTGAAGACCTTGATGCGGAAGACGATGTTTATTGGTCGACCCTAAACCAGGCAACGCAATCTCTAAATTCCTCTGTCTCTCAGTTCCTTAGCCCCAAACCTGTGACCTCGAAATGCTTAAGAGTTAAAGTTGTCGGCCAAAGGAGCCAGATTGCCCAATGGCCTCTGCAACGACTGCATCTAGACCACGGGGATCTGCCGCACTCTCGGCTCCAATGCCGTTCTCACGCAGAATGCGGATGGCCTTTCGAGGTCGTCTGGATAATCGGATATAAGATGCATGGTTCCTATAACTCCGAAACTGCAGACCCTGAACCCAACTGCAGACTACAAAACCTGAACCCTCGCCGCAGCCCAAAGACGAGGGTCCCCCAAGTTGTCTTGTTTTCATGGATATTCCCGTAAACAGCCCGCCCACCAGCCTGAGTGTAGGATGTTCATGCATGTTTGGCAGCCTGCAAACCCTTAGACCTACACTCCGTACCACAACCTCTCTTTTGGAAGCTTTAAGATTGGACTATGCCCCGCTGCGAGTTCCAAATTTACACATAGTACATATTCGGAGCAACAAGGTATGCTCCCGTGCCGCCTCAAAAAGCCCAAAATGTCCTTAAGCTCCGTGCTTTCCCAATGAACACGCCTTCTGTGGGTCCAGACCCGTCTCACGCTGCACCTTCCGCGCGGGCTGAAGCGCCAGCCTTATTGGTGAATCTAAAGGGAACATTGGGTTGTATAGCGACATGTAGGTTGCTGTTAAAGGGGGCTTACAGAGTTGAGGGATTGGGGATTTAGGGTGCAGGGTTTGGGGCTTAACGTGCTCAGGGCTTTGGATTTCGGGGTTAAGGGTGTGGGGCTTATTGCTTCAAGGTTTTCACAATAAAACACCTCGCAATACACCGCGACAAACACAGTTTGTAATTAGCAGCATTGCGATACAACAGGTCGTATGCGGCACCATGGCATCATAAAACGAAACGGAGCCTAACACACTTTAGCGTGCCCCTACAGTGATGACCGCTTCAAAAAACCCAGCAAGCAGCCGGCTGTGCATTTCTCTCGCCTTCTCCCGGGAACCTACCTTAGCTTCAGCAAAAGGACTTTGACAGGGCACATAATGCCGCCAGCGTTCGATGTTTCTAGTTCTAAGGCAGGGTTGCGTGTGCTTGGGGGAACTGATCCTTTGCATGAATTCGTGAGGGGTTGAATGGACCACCACGCACATTCAACGAACACTAGGAGCTTTTGCTATCCCTGCTAGATCGACTTGCACTTCCCCAACCTTACACGGAATCTTCAAACCATGCTTTGTAGACTACTGTCCTTTTGAGTCCGTGTTTGTTTGGCGAAGTGCTGCCAAGCCCTAATTCTAGACATGGAACACTTTACTACGAACCCCCAACCCCAAAACCATATACCTAATCAGAGCAAAGCCACCACTACCCTTGCTGAGCGGGCCAACATCTTCTTCTCGAAGAGAGGCAGGGCTTCCTCGAGCCCGTTTGCGAGCCCATGCTTGTGGAGGCTCTCAACAAGAACCTTGGGTCCAGGGGTGTGGGGTGCAGTTACAATGTAAGCTACAGAGGTCGAGGCTCTTGTGTTGGGAAGACGGGAAGCGCAAATAGCATCTTTGTGGACTTCAACACAACTCTTTATCCTTTTGGAACTTGAACATGCGGCGAGGCCTTGTCAAAGGCTTCAGCCAGCAAGGCTATTTGGCCTACATCATATAGCCTTAATGCCAACAGGTTCTGTATTCAAGCTACGGAACGAAGCATCACGCAAACCTGGCAAGCTAGCCTTTCAAATCCCATGAAGCATCAAAAGACAAGCAACCCAAAGCCTGAAACCACCAGCCTTCTCCCTACATCAGCCCTATCAGCCACCAAAACCCTTCAATGTAAACCATAAACCCTCACTCAAAAGCCTCAAGCCTGGAATGCTCAATCCTAAACCCCTCTTTGAAGGAACATTCTTGTAGTCATATAACAATGCCAAGAACCACAAAAACCAGGAATCCCTAACGTTGATCCAGACATCCACAAGCCTTACGCCTAAGCCCTGGCCCTCACAAGGGGCATCGGCCAAGAGGACAGCGTCGCTGAGGGCCTGGTTGGCCCCCTGAGCCTCGGGTGAAGGTCTTCATGGTCGATCAGGGGGCTTTAGGTAGGTTAGGGGTCGCTGAAGGACTGAAGTACAAATTGCAGGGGTTCTGTATGTTTGTGAATATTAGGGTGCTTGTCTGAGCCCAGCATCTAAGGCGCCGGCTTTCTACAAAATTAGCCAGGTTTCACCTAGACGCCCAAATTTTGACAGCTATCCATGTGCATGGAGGTTAGACCAGGATCATGCTGGCTTACCAGGGCAGGGGAGTTCAAAAAACAAGGACGTGGCGTTTGGCTCCTTACATATGTTCCCCGCCCGCAACGTGCACCCACTTTGTATCTTATACATGTGAGAGCAGACAACTATATAAGTGAAATGTTCCCACATGCACCTATTTATTAAGCCCCCTCTATACACTCACCACAACCGCTGTGAAAACTCTGTCTCGGCTACTGCAAGAAAAGGAGCCTTGAATGGCGTCATTGGGTGGGCCGCGTCACCGATCCTTGGATGTTGCGCAAGCTTTCGTCGAAGCTTCCAGGTGTTCACTGAACTCGACGTAACCACCTACGGTACGGGAGAGCTGAGTGCTTCAAAAGGCTAAAAGTCTCAGAATGTGGTTCTCTCGTATCTCGGAAATAGCTGGTTCAGCTGTGCCGTAAGGCCCTTAGCGAAGTACAATCCCTCAACGCGTGCTAGATACTTCTTAGCCTTCAATCCCTACAAGCACAGACCTATTCAGGCAAAGCCAGATTAAGGCTGAGACGCGCTGAATCCTCAGCCCATGCCCCATTGTCATCCCAAAGAACCCCACATTGTTTAGGATAAGACCCGTACTCACACTCCGGGTAAGGCCCAAGGAACAAAGTCACTCGCCTTGCAGCCTCTGGGACAGGCCGAAGAATCTGGGGCTCCAACAGGTCCTCAGCGCACAGTTGATGGCTACCGGACGAGTTCGTCCAAGAACACTACAAGATTTTAATTTCTTGGCTGAAGTTGGAAGCTGGAGACCAATTTCTCCCCTCAATACTTGCGACCCCAGCCTCTGGTATCCTGCCATCCATGGCCTCCTGAACCTCTTCATCAAGTCTTTGGCACCAAAGCCCTGGTCCCAGCCAGTATGCCCGTGATCGAAGTACGAAGTAAATTAAAAACAGCATGCATCCAAGACTTCCGTACTGAAAACTTTGCTGCGCTGCTACGTGTTGGGGATCTTGGTTAACAGAATTCACATTACCACCCTGTTTACGGAAAAAAAACACATGCTGACCAAGGCCTGGAGTCGCGGTCATAGACAGGATAACCTTGGTCGGTGTTTGGGAGCTCAGGAAACGCTTCTGCGTGGGATTAGGTTTATACCCCCTAAGCGATGACATTAGAAGCTGCCCTGCATCATCCCAGCATACCAGAGGAACCTGACTAATTGCCAGTTTGATCATGCTCATTTCTAAAGTACCCCCTGCAACAACCCCTGAGCTCAACAAGACTGCTAGAAACTCGAAGACCTAAACTTGTTCTCAGCACTCCGAAGAGGGGCCCGAGAAGGAGTCCAAGGGAGTCTTGCGCAACATCTCGGGCACTGGGCTGTGCCAGGCCTCACATCGTCGCACAATTTCCTCAGAATCGAAATGTAGTAGAGGGTCTTCTCGGGGCCTTGGGCCTTTATTAGAGCTTGGAAGGGATTCTGCGGGGGAAGGTTGTCCAGATTATGAGGCAACTACAGCTTGCATTGTGGCATTCAGCATGTGCAGAGTTCAGGATTCGCATTCGAATCTAGGTTTGTGTGCTGGCTCGATAGGAACAATGGTCCCTTTGTTCGGGTTAGCTTGGCTATGACTGGCCGCAGATACACCTCAACAGGGACTCGTCTGGAGCAAATGCTCTTCAACCGCTGAAGGACTGAAAGTTCAACCTAGCCTCTTCTTTCAACGCGGCTTGATCCTTGCACAGCTTCTTGGCAGCATCTTCGCCCATGGGGAACGACAGCTGCCACATTGTTGAGCTTGTGGTGAAGGGCATCGCCTGGCTGTCCCATCTTCCTACTGTGAAAAATCCTGCTTAGAATCTGAGGCAATCAGTAATTGTCCTAATCATCCATGAGATCTCCATGCCTGCTCTCCCAGTGCACCACAGTCGCTTCCCTAGCCTAGGAACGAAAGCGATGAGTTTGTCTGTCAAGTTTGCGATAGCCATTTTGGCTCAGGATGCTGTTGCATAAATGTTACAAGTAGGATGAATATGCGTGTTACCATAGCCATCAGGACAAGTGCTTGCTTCTAGCCAGTTGCATAGATTCTCGTGCACCCGTCAACAGTCTCGAAGATTCGACGGTGAGCCAGAGTAACAGACATCTCATCCTCGCTCAAAATACCCAGCACAACCTTACTTGTTTGCTTTGAAATGCTCAGCTGAAAAAAGAAACATGTTGATGTGTAGTCGCTTGAGCGGCAGAACATTTGCTACTCCTACTAAAAAAAAAGCTTGGAGGAGCAAGACACGGTTACTGGAAAGGAAGCCAGCAACCACCAAGCCCACGTAGTTCAGTCGGTCACCAGGCAGCGACAGCTGCCGACGAACAGTTGAAAATATTCCATCCGAACCAACCAACAGAGCCGCCTGTAGGGCCGTGCCATCAGTCAGCGTGATCTTAACTCCATGCTTCTGAGTGGCCCCATTCTTTTCCAGGCACTTGAAACTCTTCAGCCTAACACTGAGCATGAGCATTGAGGGTCACAGGGCTTTCTTGAACTGGCAGGCCCTTAACATCCTTAATGACTCCGGGGATACATGGTGATTACAAACAGAACATGGCGGCCGTTTGCAAGATGATATGGGGCTTACTTCAAGAAATGCTCCCATAAACCAACGAAGGGAACGACAAGACTTCCCAAGGGCCAAGCTGGCAACTTGCAGTTCCAGCGGATCGTTCCGGGGCGCAGCTTGTCCACGATCCTTCGGCGCAACATCTGACGTGGGATGTGGATGAAACGACCAGTGGAGGCAGTTTGGCTCTCTTTTCGATCTTTGCTTGTGCTGCCGAAGGCCTCTCCAAAGAAGCCCAGGATTTCGCCAGAATCTGAAAACGTGTAGTGAGACGTGGATGGGGCGTCATCCCTGGCCAGGTCAATGCCCAAGGCTTGTGTGGTCGAGCCGTAACCTCTGTTTCATAAGGCGCGCTTGAACGGCACAAGCCGAATCGATCACAATTTCTAAGTTCCAAACGCATCATCAAACTAGGCTCAGAAACCCTGCATCTGCTTAGGTACAGCAAATGCCAGCAGAAAGGATGTAGTAATTCTTCAACTCTGAATACTTCTGAATGAGTACACTATGTATCCATGAAAGGCTTACGAACAAGCTTCGCAGAACAATCCAGCCACCTTGGATGGTTAAGCCATAGCCCTGCTTTCGGGCATCGAAGCTGGGATCAGACTCCAGGACCAGCACGTCGAAGCCCTTGCTTTGCAGCGCTACGGCAACGGCGGCGCCGCCGATGCCACCGCCGGCAACCACAATCCTCAGCTCAACGAGTTTCGAAGGCTCTGAGATAATCAAGCAGCTTTTCTGTCAACAGCCTGTGAAGAAATACGTCCCTGCAGACAGGGCAATCCTGAAAAAGAAGCACATGCAATGCAATCCAGCATCTGGCCACACTTGGGAACATCCAGCGCGTTACTAACAGACGTCATACCGCCGAGGCCACTGGCTTTCTTCCTCTGCTGGAGAGCCTTCACGACTTTCTTACAGCCCGCGCGCCCGAAGGCCCACTCCATGTTATCAAGCTCTTCCTCATCAAAGTCGCCCAAGGCAGCAATGACAGAGTTCCCCAAGGATGCAAACCTGGGCATGGGTCCACTCTAAGAGTTCAGTACAATATGATATGTGAAGCTCCTGCAGGTCTTGCATTGGAAAAAAGATGGCCGCCCATGAAAACAAAAACGCAACCTGCGTAACTACGTCTTCCAGCATTACAATACCAGCACTGGGAGATTCGCAACATGATACTTCTGAATGCTTCTGCAGGACCCTTTAGTCGCATCTGGTTCCCGATTTCCACCCCAAGGGCGATCTTATTTTCATTACCCTTAGCCTCAAACCAAACCTAAACCACAAACACCCTCAGCCCCCAAACTCGAACACCTTGTCGCCCATGAAGTTCTGGGCCTCTCCATTCGTCATGCAAACTACGCTTTTGCAGACCAGGAGCAGACCTTCATCCAGCTGGTTGGCGCTGGCGAAGACCCATGCCAGAATCGCCGTTTCCTGCAAAGAACATTCTCCGCTTGCGGTGTGTACAGGCTTCCTCAATCTCGCTAAGAAGGCTTTGCTACGCGTTCAAAGGTTTCCATGACAACTTGTTTTTTCATATTGCTTGAGGGTGCTCTTGTCATCAAAATGCATGGGTAGTTGCATGGGAGGGCAGCGTATGTTTTACAAAGGGGGCAGTTGCGGTATGGACGGTCCACGGAAGGCAACCTATCTTAGAGCTACCCACATGTAGTTGGCTCTTGGATCTGAGAATTCTGGGTTCTCTAGAGACCCTTTAGTCAGACTCGTGATGGCAACAATTCTGTAGAGTTCCTTATCGCTTTGAAGACACATGGGTGCCAGAAGCACCACGCTGTCCCCGTCTGAAAGCCTCTGCTTTCTTGTTTGCTTGGGTGACCATTTGATGGCTCAACGTGTCCTGTGTCGTAAAGTCCCCCACTCGCTGCTCAGCAGAACGGGCCAAAGCACTGAACCTTGGCTCACTTGGCAGTGATCCCTCTTCAATGTACTTCGACACGCCCACCCATATCGAATTTCCACTCTTACAGCTAAACATGTTGGAATTTTAGCATGCAATGCTACAAAACTGGCAGGTTTGAATCTGCCGAAACCTGCACCCAGCTAGTTACTGCGGGAGCATCTGATCATAGCCACAAAGATCCGCATCCATAGCATAGATATCACCAAAAAAACGGAGCCAGCCTGAGCTTACGTATACTTTCACACGTTTTCCTTGACATAGCCTCTGCAGTTCCCACAATATGACGGCCCCTTAGCATTCCGAGGAACAAGCCCACGTCCAGCGGCACGTCCGCTTTGGCGAAAGCCCAGGCCTAGGACGGTTTTAGGGTGAAAAGAGGTATCGCGAGGATTCCCAAAGATTGTGAAAAGGGCCAGGGCAGCCACCTAAAAAAGTCAATCGTTTTTCTTTTGGATTGACTATGGAGCAATAGTGTTTCTGGTGCTAGAATGTAAATACCTAGAAGTTAGTAGCATGCGAATCTTCTTCTGGCACTTGAACCGCTAAAACCGGAGAGCCATAGCAATCTCCAAACGAGGTGTACTACTGAGCCATTTGACCCCCAAGATCGGATATCGTCTAACATAGACAAGAACTCTTGCCCTACGCGAATGGTCCCAAAGGCGATATTGGCCATGTGTGGGGCGCTGAGGTCGTCGAGGTTCCGCCGGCCGTTGCAGAACGACCTCTCTGCTCAAACTTTCACAGAGAGGCTTCGTGTATATGAGCACGCTAGTCTGGGAGCTTCTCAGGGTCCCCAGCGTTGCCAGCATTTTCAGAAAGTCTTCTATGGATCCCGAGGAATGGTTCCTGATTGAAACCTGGGCAGCCTGCACTACATCCTTATCCGTAAGCCTACAGCGCACAGCCCTAAGGCCTAGAACGTGAACTCAACCCTGAACCCTACACGCAAAACGCTAAATTCTAACCCGCTGACTTGGGTCCCAACCCCTATAACACCCAATCCACTAACTTCACAAGCACCCCTGTACCAACCAACAGCCAGTTTTGAGAGACACTCGCCTGGCCACCGACTTAAACAGCGACTCGTTGAAGTGCCCTGCCTTTGCAAAAGCCCATGCCTGGGTGCATGCTCTTCAAGGAGGATTTTTGGGGGTAGGTGTGCGGGCAAGTAAACCATACGATTTGGGATTGAGTCTAAATTTCGTGTTATGCTTCCTATGGGTACCGAAAAGAAGGTAACTCTTTGTCATGAATGGTTGAATAGCTTGGTTGTCAGCTGCGACAATGGCCATGTATAAGGTTGTGAATGCAAGCGGATCTATGACCATGTTTTGATGTCGGACTCTCGATTACATTGCTGTATCCCTCTCTCCCTCTCCCTCACTCTTTGTGTGTCGCTTGCTGCATATCAGATACTATGTTGCAGAGGTCCTGCGCGTTGAAATCGTCCAGACATCTTGTTGCCGCTTCGGACCTTGACTGTGCCCGCACTTCTTCCTACATTGTTGCATAACCGATTACATTTAAATGGTGCCAGACGGCTGCTGGCAATTAGAAGGGGTGCATTATGGAAATATTGAATTTTGGGGCGAATAGTCCTAAGGGCGTTCGACCTAGCCGTCAACCTGAAACAAATCAAAGCTGAACTGAGCCCATGTTCGCTCAAGCTGTCTCCCTCCTCCTGCTGTCAAATATCATATATACTGTACGGGGACAACTGCTCAAGACGCGCAAGCTGCTGTACAGGACATTTGAATATCAGAAAAGTGGGTCGTCTTGCCCCATAACCTCATGCGCGCCAGCACACGCCCTACAAAATCCCTTCAAAGGTCGCCATCAAGCTGACACACACTTCATTGCAAGTCGTACCGGGAGACAATGCATTGAAGAGCGCATCATCCAGATGACAGGCCTTTGCGCAAGCCCAGGCGATGTTCGCCAGGTCCTGCTGGGAGGGCCCCTGCTTTGGGAGCCTGGCTATGAAGGAGCTAGGGGTCTAGATCAAGGACTTAGCGATCGGGGACTAAGAAAAAGGCAGTAGGGTTAGCAGTATGCTATGCTAATTTCTATCACTCGTCAAAGTGTGGGTTGTGCCATAAACTAGGCTTCATCTGGTAGTTTCTCAAAAGCGGGGCTTGTCTTGAGGGATGGTCAAAGAAACTTCCTTTACATCCTCTGCATTCTACCCATTTCAGCTCGCGACAGGGGCTCTTCAACTGGCAACTCCATGGTGCCAGAGTTGTGAAACCACTTGAGATATACTACTGGTTATGGTGGAGTCTAAGGCAGGTTTTTAGCTATCGGAATCCCGACTGTCCGTTTAAACTACTACTCCGTTGCCCGAACCAAGAAGCCCTTCGCACATAAATCACACGAGTGGGAATGGAGAACTCTATCGCCGTGATCTTCTAGGGCTAGGGTCCCAACGCACTTGTTTGAAACGAGAAAGGTCCTCCGTATACTCAGCACAGGGATTACGAAACAGTGTCTCTAGATACAAGATGTGCATGGCTACTGAGATCCTGCCTAGCTGCGAGCTGTCATAGCCAAGGCCCGAAACCCTGAACCCCAGGCCCTAAGTAAGCTCCCAATGACAGAAGCAGGTGGTCCTGCGAGTTGAAGTCTGAACCTTGCTTCCTACCCAAGCGCTCACCTGCATCACAAGCATAGCCGGTGTGCATTAGCATCATTAGCCGAACACACATCTTGGATGTAAGGCCTGTGCGAGTCCCCTATAGGATCTTGTTTGATAGGGTGGAAGCAATTTCCGCAACAAAGCACTTGCTCCGGCTTCAAGTAAGTATATCACTGCTTAAATGTCACAAACCATGCTAACCGGACTTGACCACAACATGCACGCATGCTTTGAAGCAATTGAGTTCCTTCCGTCCTGCACTTGGAACTTCGTTACATGTGCAATGCCGAGCCAAGCGACATATGGCTTGGGTGAAAGCCTCGAAAAGCCCAGCTTCACGATAGCCAGCTTTTGCAAATGCCCACCTTGGCAATGATTTCTCCAGGCTCCAAAGGCTGCGTGGAAAAAAACTTCGGCCAGTGATATGAGCGGCTTCAAAAAAGCATAAGACACAGGACTGGAAACACATTCAAGCCTCCAAATCCGCTGTGGTTTACACCAGGTTTGCAGCTTTAGAGCCAAGGACTTAGGGATGCAGGGTCTAGGATTTTGCAAGGAATTTTAAGTGATTTGCTCCCCGCTCGAAAGAGGGGGAAGCGAGGATGCTTTCTGCTCCCTCCGTCGGGTTCTGTCGGATGCGTCACGCTATATTAAGAGGAGAGACAGGAGCTCAGCCAATACCATGGTAGCTTCCATTGTCCTTTCCAATCAGTTTGGAATAGATACTAGAAGCTACCGCACTATGGTAGTTTCCCCAAATAACCGGGCCCCAAAATAGACCACAAAATTCAACAGTCCCTATTATGGGGACCCCAAAAAGGGTACCTCTCATGTTGGCAAACCCCACTATTCCCCCGAAGCTCATCCTGGCCACACGGTGCTCGCAAGACCCTGTGCGTTGAAGCTCTTTTTCTCCAGATGCCACTCAGCCGATTTGGCCAAGGCTGAGAAGAGGTCTGAGTCAAACCTGGGTTGCTGTTAAAGGAATCAGATTAGGTAAAATGGAGAATCAAACGGAAAAGAAACTGGAAAATGCAATGGACACCGAGGGAAGTTAGTGATTTAAGGAACTTAATTTGAGTTACTATATTAGGGACACCGTATTAATTACTATACATAATTATATATACATACATAGCCAGTATGTAAACTTGATTTGAATTCCTTAACACAAACCCAGAAACTGGCCCAGTCTTGCAAAGGCCCAAGCCATGTTGGCCAGGTCCATCTCCTCATGCTTCAAACTCCGAACTCCAAAGTCCAAACTGGTTCTATCTATTGGAGTCTAGGTTTTCTTTTCTGACGTTAAGAAGAACCCAAACATGTTGCTAGATCAGCTGCAGTTGCATTGAAGTGCTCTATCCACTGCCGGGCCATGGCGCCCATGGACCGCAAGACCCGGGAATCCAGGACACCAGCTTTGGCAAAGGCCCAGGCCTTGGTTCCGCTTGGCTTGGTAATGCTGGGAGGTTCTAAGAAGGGGTGTCTTAGGGCACCCTAAGGATCTAAAGAGGTTCTAAAGGAATGATGGGGTCTCATTGGGATCTTCGTAACCAGATACACAGGGGGGGCTCCTCTGTGAAGTAATGCAGGGGCCCGGGTGAAGCAAATAGGGTGGGTTAGCGTGATAAGTTGCTTAATCATCCTCAGATTTGGAATGAAGGAGAATCACAGTTGAATGGCAAACATGGACACGGGGCTTATGTAAAGTTTGTGAAAAAATCCAAGGATTGAAGTGTCGAGGCCCACATGATGCCCGAGGGTTTGAGGATTCATGGCTCCAGAATTCTGATAGGAGTATCAAACTGTTGGGATTCCTTACAACTTTAGCACTGTGTTCTTTGGTGAACGCATCTAGCATCGCACGTTGTGAGAAGCCTCAAGGTTACAACTCGTACTGATAATTTCACCACGGCCAGCTCAATGATTACGCTGAAGGTTGTGTGCCTGAGTGCCATTGCCGATTAAATCTGACCCTGGGCACATTGAAAAGACAATTCTGTTGAACGATGATGCAGCAGCTGTGTTGGCCAGTCCCTGGGTACTGAAGCTGTCTAAACGCTGTTCGACGGCCCCTCCCAATGCCTCGAACAGCTTTGTATCAGTGTGGGCCGCCGTTGCAAAAGCCCACGTGATGTTAGCAACTTCCTGCGCGTTGAAGTTGTCAAGGTACCATTTTTGCTTGGCAGTCGACGCAAGTGCAGAGAACAGATCAGGACTTACCTGGCCTGATTTCGCAAATGCCCACGCAACATTAGCCAGCTCCTGGGAATTACAATCGCTGAGATGCTTGTGCAGTACTCCTGCCAATGAGGTCATTAAAGTAGTCAGGGTCGCAGAGCCACTCTTGCAAGCCCCACTCTTGGCGATGCCGTGCGCTATGTTTGCCAGCTGCCGTGCCTGAATATCGGCGCCCTTGGAAATTTCAAGTGTGTGCTGCGCGAGTGACTCCAGGGCCTCTACGTTGCTGGGAAGAAGATACCATTCCTCTGATTCCTTCGCCAAGTGCCCGAGCTTGTTCCAGCAAGCAGAAACGTGAATATGATTAAACTTGGTCTGGTATCTTGTGCAGTTTTGGAACAAACTTTCAACTGTCCAGGAATTTTTGATGTAGCTGTTGAGCAGCGCTGGACTCAAAGACTCGTCTCCAGCACCCTTGGAGCCTCCGCTGCCCTTTGCAGACGATCCCTTGCCTTTCTTGCCACCCTTGCCCATGACTGTGCACGCCTCAAAATGCTGATGTGGCTGCTGCCATGGGCACAAACTTGCGGTAGGGGCACCCCCAAGTGTTAACTTTTGCATTATTCGTATATAACCTTTATGATGTTGGTCCAACATCATTCCGCAGGTCTTACTTCTGGTGTCAGCTGTGCTTAGACTCTGCGTCGTTTTCCAAGCTTTCGCTTAGAACACCGCCTGAAAACCCAACCAAACCCCTGCAGAGCCACATGGAATTGGTTCTGGCATAACTGGCACAGCTTGCAGCCACACAGCTTCGGATGCATCTGCTTTGATAAACGGCACTGCGCTCTAGATTTGACTAATATACAGGAAGTTTTGAAAGCACTAATAGCATCGTGTTCGTGTTTTTTGGACTCAGATGAGTGGCAGTACATATGCTTCACAATGTGGTTTCTCCGAAAACATAGGACAAATTGAACGGATGCTTGTAATAGGCCAGAACAGGTGTCACTTGAGCCGGTTTAAGGGTGTAGGCCTGGAGTTCCTTCGAGGCGGCGTCCACAACCCTCGAATTTGAACTCATTTAGTTTCGACACCCCGCGCCACTAAGTCCTTACAGCATGTCTCGTTGGCATTCTGGGAAGAGGGCAGCCAGCTTCCTCTGAGACAACTTAGCCAAGCAATGTGCCACACAAACCTGGAATCTTAGAAATCCCCGAAATCAGTTGGGTTCCAAGCAATGGGGAGGCTCGGCGCATGAGTGCTGTACTAATTATAACCAAAGTCAGATCCCTCTCATAACTCTCAACAAAGCCGTAAACCACAGCAATACCACCCTGCCAACCCTTGCGCACCAACTTCTGGAGGTAATGCTGTCTAAATTCCTATAATTAAGCACTCGGCCTCAGCCGCTCTTGAACCGACTGGATTTGGTTTGATTGCACTACTCTAAACCTATGCCTACTTCACCAAGCACCCTTGTCAACCGCTCAAACCGAAAGCTCCGAAGCCACAAATCGTTAGAACATCCCCTGAAATCTGAAACTCAACAGCTTCCATGACAACATCTGGCTTTGCAGCCTCCAAGTGATGCTGGCAGAATGTTAGCAGTGGGACAAGGACTTCCTGCAACTTGCCAAAGCGTGTGGGCTTCATCGAGTTTGGGGTGATGAGCTTGCGCTTTAGGACCCTATCCCCTGATGGAATATTTTCCCCATCACTGCATCACTGATGTGTTTTGGAATATGTTGGCTGCGTGAAGGTTGAGGGTTCAGTGCCTGACGCCGTGCGATTTCCAGTAGGTCTCTGCGTAAAGGCTTGGGGGCACTGCTTGGGTCTATCAGGCTTTCAGGACTCAGGGAAATCAAGTAGCTTTCAAGCTTTTCATCTACTCTCCTTTCACTATACTAGAACAGATTCACTATGGCCTTCTCTTTCTTCGCAGGGCTCAGAGAAACTTTCGGCGTGCTGGCCAGCTTCTTTACGGGTAGGCATACTACGAAAACCCTAATAGGGGCTATAGGCTATAGGATAGAGCTTGGCTGCAACGTGAGTATCTTCCAGCGTTTGCGCAGGTTGAGTCTCAAACTGGTGAAGTATGTAGTGATTTGGATTATAATGGGTGGCTGGGACGAAGAGGGAACCCAAAGCAAGGGGCATGCTCCTCCTCAGCCCTGTCATTAAGCCATCGATCCTGTCCCTGATTTCCAAGAACTCTGCGGTCCTGGGACCTGCAGTCCTGAAACACCAACCTTGAAGCAGAAAAAGGGACTCTGCGCTATGGTGGGCTTTGGATTCTACATGACACAGGGGCTACGGGCAACTCCTTGTTCCGATACAAGAGCAGTTTCTCGACCAGCTCTATCGCCGCCTTCACGGGAAAGCTGAAGGTCAAGTGCAGCAGTGACTACGTCTGAGCTCACCCAGTGAAGCTCTCGTCAAGGTTTTGCGGAATGTAAAGTGGAGTGGCACTTGAGGGGACGGGTCGAAGTGTTCGCTAGCCAGAAATCCTCAAATACAAATGTTAGCCGCAATACAGCCTACATGCAGTAGTGAAAGATCCTCAGCGCCTGAGATAAATAGATCTACCCACCCTGACCTTCTCCTAAGCCTCACCCTCCTTACTGTGGATGATTTTCGGAATCTTAAACCCGCAGCCTAACTGCTAAACTCTAAACTGTAGCTCCCAAAGCTGCAGCCACATCCTCCTTCAACTCTGCTGATCCTAGCGATACACTGACTTCCAATCCCGCCAAGGGTGCCGAAGAGCCCGAATCCTGGGCCCCTAAGTCTCGAATAATACCTGCTTTGGGTTCCGAAGTCTACAAATAAGAGTTTCCCGAAATAAGGGAAACCTCATATAGACGCAAAAAAGCTATAAGCCCTGTTGTGGGAAAGTACCCCTAATTTGAGGACATCCCCAAGATACAAATTGGGGTCCCCCTATTTTGGTACAGGTACAATCCCAAATACTACCTACTTGGATCCGTGGAGGCCTGGTGGGGCCGCGAGTCCGAATCGCAGTCGCTGAGCAGCTCTCTGAGCAGCTCCTGATACGGCAGTTTAATGTAGTAGTAGAACTTACCGGCTCTTAGTAGGGAATAAGGGACTGTATGATAGGGTTCAGGGTTGTTTAGGGCAATAGCATAATGGGAGCTTGGACAACACAATTGGCAACAGGATAGCAACCATAGCATAATAATTGTAGTAGTAACAATCGGCTTAACTTACTGGTTCTTAGTTGGCAATATATTGGGATACATAGGGATAATGGAAAAGAACATGGCCACTGCTGCATTATTAGAAGGTATATACTGGGGTCATAATAGGGAATAGGGGAACAATCCCCAACTAATCCCTACAAATTGTATTCCCCTATTCCCTACTAACCCCCACTAAGTTGAAGATTCTAGGGGTTGCGAGTGCAGAGGCCTTGGGTCTGGGGCGAGAGTATTATCAACAGGCTTCAAGGTTTTGGGCTCTAATTGGATAGTAAACAACATGGTTGTGCAGGGATGTAGGGCTTCCTGTGTCTATTCAGGATCAGATACCATTAGACTGGGTCTCTGCTCACGGGTCAGAATCTTCGAGCAAGGAATTTGTCTCGAAGTCTGCTGCAACGTCCAGTATGCCTCCTGGACGTCTACGAGATGTTGTGCTGAAACGGACTCACTTGATACGAACTTTACCTTTGTGGAACTGACTAGTGAACTTGAGTCGCTAGAGGCCTTCAAGCAAGCAGCTCAAGGCCAAGAACCCCATCAACAAAGACTGGAAAGGACGTCATGTAAGTTGCAGTCAATATTTCTTTCCTACATAATTTAACGGACGTGGGCTCCTTATTGGGGACGATATTGTTCAGGACTATACTAAACTACAAGAGGGGCCCCGAAGTCCTGTTCATGGTCCCTTGACAAAGGCCAGCATTGACAGTAGCTCATGTAGAGAAAGAGAGTCGGGTCGCCGAAGGCATAAGCAAACAGCCGAGGTGTGTGCGGCACCCGCACAGCTGGAACTTTACATTGCACATCTCTGGCCGTAGTGGGGCAGGCGGAATGCGTACCAACCAATCATCCCTTCATGGTGCCCGGAACGAGTCCTATCATTATCTTGCTAACCGACTCCCGTTGAATGCTTACAAGGACGGAAAGTGAATCTTCGACTGGATTTCCAAGACAGCTTGGGCCTTCAGGAGCTAGCTGACAAAGTCAAGCCAAAACCAATTGGCTACAATGCTTGCAAGCAACGTCTACATGATTTCATTGGGGAGGGGGGCCGGGACAGGGCCGGCCTCAGGATCCAGCTGCCACAGCTGCATCTCAACGTCACCGAATCGGATCTTGCAGCTTGGGGAAGTGGGTCACACACCATGCAGCATGGTTTATAGACTCAAAATATAGGCTGCGCCCAGAATGAACCTTTAAGGGTTCGGGGAGTAGGTGCGGGTTCGGCCTTCTACAATCGGAGTGCGCATCGCAAGGAAATCTTCAGAGGGCATGATAGAAAAATAGCTGTTTGGAGAAATAGCTATCAATTTTGTGTGAAGTTGTGTAGTGTGTGTGCAAAGAGGGGTTGTTCAACGTGGGTGTGAAAGGATTGGAGTTTGTTTACGTGTTTCCTCCTCAGACTCTTTACAGGGCTACACCTACCGTGACATATGTGTACCGGAACGTTCAACATTAGATGGGCAGAGTTGGACATCCAGCGGAAGTGCTCCAGGATTGGCGTGTGCGGTCTTTGCGTCGGCAAGGTTTATGCTGCCTTTCATGTCTGTAGCAAGTATACAGTATACATGGAAACTAAGTGAAAATGAAATCATGTTCCTACCCGGAGTTCCAGGAGCTCGGCATGAGCTACATGGAAAAGTGAGTGAATTTCAACCACAAGCCCGGAGCCACGAACCGTCAACCCAAGTGGAACCAGGGTGTCTTTTAGGAGTCCTGCAAGGAAGCCAACATCTTGAAAAAGAGTGCAGCTTTGGATTTTGTCTCCTCTTAGACCAGAAGCAGCTGCCCTAGATCCCCCCCCTCGCTCCTGCGGGAAGATGCCAAACTCCAGGAGCTCCTGGCAAACAGGCACATGAACTTGTAGTGTCGCCTTGCTGTAGAAGGGTTCTGTGAGCGAAGAGGCTTTGTTGATGGGACCTGTTATGAAGGTTCCTAAGAGCATTTACAGTCTTTTTGTAGGCCGCGAGGGTTGCTTGAGGCTGTTGCAAAGGGATGTTTCTGAAGGCAGTGTATGTTGGTGTCAGCAAGAAATGGTGGTTGAGCCCTTTCAAATCAGGATGGGGGATTTGTAAAGTTTCTGCAAGGGAAGCCGAATTGCTTGGGCTTTGAATAGTGGCCCAAGAAACACCAAGCGGGTCCCAAAACGACAATACTTCATGGTTGAAGCTTAGCAATCCTCAAGCATTAGAAGCGAGAAGCCGGCAGTACACTGCAGAGACTGCATATTTGTCATGAAGTTCCGAAGCTTCCTCATCGCATAGTGTTTCAATATGTTTTAACATATGTCCATCTCCGGGCCTCTGCAGC